AAACAATGCTGCAACTGTCCAGGGGTCAGTTGCAACATCCGACTTTTCATTTTCAAATGCAAATTGTGAAGAATGCACATGCTTTAATCATCTATAAATGATTTTGACTATTAACAGATAGATGTAAGTTTGTTGTTTAAAAATTTGGTTTGTCTAATTCAAACCGTCTCTGAGTAACAGAGTCAAATGCAAAAAGTGTTGCAGCTGTCCCCGGTATCCCCTATAATTTCTTTTTTTTTGGAGGTAGACTCTGTTTACCGAATTTCAAGGCAAACCTGTGTTTAGTCTGCTTAGAGCTGCCTGTCTGCCACGAAGGATTTTAATACATCACCACAACATGTTGCACAAAGCTAAATATGAGACAGTTACTGCAGCTGTAAATACGTGAATAACAGATTTTTTTTTTTTACCAAAACCACAACCACGCAGAAGTCTGCACTCAAATACACTCATGCCATTACACTTCAACTTGCTAAAGTAAACGTTTATAATTTGTTTGCTTCAAATGTTTTTTATTCATAAGAGTACAACAAAAATACATGCATTTGAGCATGAAATACAGTATGTTAAGTTACAAAATACGCTAAATACTCTCATTTACTAAAAAGATATACACACAAACATTTTAAAAATGACATTTTTATTAAATTTGAGGAAATRTGAARCACTATGTGSCCCTCTGGTAATGTCAACAAAAAATGGTGGCTCCTTCCATCATTTCAGTTGTCCATCCCTGAGCTAGGCTGATCCTGAAAAAAGAGCCGTGTCGTCATGTTTTTGCACCAACAGGAGCAGCTGATGGAGAAGATGGACGTGCCCAAAGACCCGGCGGTGAAGCTGAGAAGAGAAGACTTGGAGTTTGCCTACGATGCTGTTCGAATAGCAAACAAGTCAGTCTGTCACTCATTCCTACCCGTCGGTGTGGGTCCAGTGTTGAGCTCACAGAGGTCTGGTTCCTGTTCAGGTTTCTGGAGAGTCAGCTCCGGCAGCAGCGCAGTCAGTGGGAGGAAGAACTGAACGCTCTGAGGTGCCAGCTCAGTCAGGCCGTCTCCTGGTCCTCCTCTGCTGCACAGACACAGGTCGGCAGGTTCTGTGTGAATGTTGATTCAGCATAAATTCTAAAATCTATTTCTAGTTAATGTTGTAATGTCGTTCCCTCRTCAAACACACTTTGACTCATTCATGCATGTTTGACAAATCCTTCAGTCTCCTGGGGCCATGAGGAGCTGCCTAAACACTTGCTGGTCCAAAAGCCCCGCCTATTTGCACAAAGCTCCTCCCTGGAGCTCAGTCTGCAGCCGAGCTCACACCACTTCCCTGAAGCATTGTGTGCTGAAGTGGGAGTGTCTGAAACGGCAGGAGGTTCTTAAAGAGACAGAGGTTAATTTTAAGGCGCTTAGAAAGGCTATGATGCAAAGTCAAATTTATTTTTGATTTATACAGCATTTTCATAACAACAGAACAACATAGTTACTTGATTGTGGTATAGAATTGAACTATGTGCCTGAAATACCCCCCCCCCCCACTTAAAAAATGAACTACATTTTAATCCCAGGAAAGAACTACACTGTGTGAGTGTTAATGCTCTCATGTTTGTCGCTACAGCAGTTTTTGCTCATTTCACCCATCACAAATGATCTAAATTCTTCTTTTATTATTCTTCTAACTTTATGATTCAACTCCACRGYCATTCATCCTCCTCCACCTCCCTCTGTCCTCACTCCAACTACTTCCATGTCCTTTCAAACTGCATCCATAAATCTCCTCTGGATGTGTCCGAACCCTCTCAGGCCRGTCTCTCTAACTTCATCTCCCAGTGCTTGATGATCTCATTTCTAATCTTCTCCATCCTCCTGCCTCCACTCTTATGTACAGGTCAGTCTGTGTTCCTCCCTCTTTTTAAAGTCTGTGTTGACTAGACATCCCCCTGAGCACCATCCACCACTACCCGTCCTTCCTGGTTCCTTTTCTTGACACCAAACCTTTCCATCCTTTCCTCGTCTCCTCTGYTTCCTTCACCAACATGTCCATTCAGGTCTGATCTGATCACCGCTCTCTCTTCCTGGGAATACTCTCTATCACTTCATCTAGAGTCTTCTAGACCTTCTCTTCCTCCTTTTCCTCACATCCAATCTGTGGTTGGATGTTTTTATGCCMAAAAAAAAAAMAAAACACAATAACAAAATTCAGCATCAGACCTACTTCTACCATCAGACAYGTCAGCCTGTCTGACACTCTTTTCACCTCTCCATTCCTTCAGGACCACCTCTCCTCCATTTCTCTTCCTGCCCACATCATAGTCAACAACTTAAACTCTGTCCCAACACTGTGAGTCTTACAGTTCTTTCACTTGGTCTCTTGCAAACAGAACATCTRCCTTCCTTCTCTGCATCATGTCAAGCCAGCTCTCTACCTTTATCTGCCATTGTCCCCATGTTTAGAGTTGCCACCAGTAGGGGTTGTTAATCCAGGCCTTGATGGATTCAGTATGTTAGCTTGGGCAAAAGTGTTTTACGCCAGGTGCTCTTCCTGATACAACCCTCACCATTTAGCCTGGTTTGGGACCGGAACAAGGTTATACAAGCTGATCTAAAGTCCAAAAYGTAAAACTTGTCCCGGCACAGGATCTTTGGGAGCTGCTGGAAAGCAGAGAGCAGGAGTGTGTGAGGCTGAGGAGGGAGCTGAAGGAGCTAAAAAGCACCGTGTCGCTCAGATCCTTCTTGTCACACGGTAAGCTGAAACACTACAGCCCGGAGGACTTCTGTGAAGAATTATGGTTCAACACATCCACGTTTCTGGGGATATTTCTTACATTAGCAGTCAGGTTTATGTCGATATCTTTCTAGTTTTCCCGTCAGCCTTGACCACGGAGGCTGCCTGCTCGCCTCAGCTGAAACCAGCCGCAGTCAGCGGCTTGTTGGAGTGTCGGAAAAGAGATGAAAGCAAACTCATCAAGAACCTCATCACAGGTGACRTATCTCACCTAAAGGAGTCCCACACGTTGCATCCACCAAGCTACTTTTACCTGTAGTTATAGCTTCACCGCCCATCTCTCTGTCCTTCAGACATCCGAGCGGAGTTGGCTCTGTCTCTGCCTCCAKCTCTGCCCACCAGCATCCTCTTCCTCTGTGTCCGTCAAGCTGACAGCATCGGAGACCCAGGCCGTGCTCGCTCGCTCTGCAGCGCCGCCGTCACCGCCATGAAGGCCGCCGTGAAGGTGACCTGACCTCTGAACTTTACTCAGATGTTAGGAGTTTAATGTTTGAACCTGTCTGAAGCAAAACAGACTTATACCATTCTATAGAAGTTATTCTTTTCATTTGTGACTCCCAGTGACTTTTTTTATATTTTGTTTTTGCAGAAACATTTYAATGACTTGGATATGACTGCCCTGTGGCTGAGGAATGTTCACCTGTTGCACGACCTGTTGGTCCAACACTCCCCAAAACAGGTTCASTTTTTTATATTTTATTTATTGTTTCCATCTTATTTACAGTCTTGAAAAGTTTAGATTTTAAATACGGTACTTTCCAGGTCTGGATAAGAACGTAAAAAAGCAAGTAATAATTACTGAACTTCACTTTCTATAAACTAAGTTGGGTATTTTTTATATTGACTGTGTTTTTAAAATGAACAAAATTTGGATCATAAAGCACTGGAGTTTCCACGTTCTGTAAAGTAAAACAAGAGACATAAAACAGTTTTTGTCGTAAGATGAAACTGTAAAGTCATCAATAAAACTCTAACAACTTTAGCAGTTTTTACCAAAAACACAAAAAAGACCAAAGTCAGATTTGCTTGYGAAAAAGATTAAAATTATAAGATTCTGATATTTTTGCTTTGACCAAAAAATATGTAATATTTTTGTACACATACAAAGTACACAGATCAAATTAATATATAAAACTATCTTTGGTACCTTTTTATTGTAATAAGATGATAAATGATACACAACAGTGGGTGAATTGGTAAAGCCCATCCTCATYGCCCAAGAGACCCTGGTTCAAATCCCAGTTGGAGCAGGGATTATTTACTGGGAGYAGTGACACACWGCTCAGAGAAGCTGTGGTCAGRATGTTGCTGGTTCAACTCCCACTGCAGCAAGGCCTTCAAATCCCCAGCTGCTTCCTGGAAACCTAAGACCCACACGTGTGCTCAGGCTACGTTCACACTTCAGGTCTTAAAGGGGACGTGCAAAATCCACTTTTTTAGCTGTTAAATACATTTTGTTGTGACTCTGAGTCTCTAGGAGAAAAGCTGAATTCAGTCTCTCCCGGTGCCACATCTTTACATTCTGTTTGGGTCATATTTTTCAGCCCATTCAGTTCTCTCTGTTTTCTATGAAGTTTTCTGAGTCTATTACGTCAATTATCCGTGATTAAATTGCCAAATAAGGTCTGGACTTACCAACGACAATTTCCTTGTCTTAATTCTCTTCTGGTTCTGGGTCAGACTTGGGCTCCAACATGTAAGGCTGGATCAACAAGTCCTCTGTTGTTGACATCTTTTAATTAAATAGTAAAACAATGTTTCTGCAAACTAGAAAATGTAAGAC